TCTAATTTTGTAAAGATTAACTGCCTCAGAAATCCAAAGGGGGTTGCTATGAGTCAGAATCTACTTGATGGCAGTGAGTTTGGTTTTGGAGTTTTATACTGTAACCTATTGCTTCCTTTCAATCTGAGAGGGCATTAAAACCTCTGGGTGCCTCAGGTTGCCTCTGAGTCACAGGTAAGATGGTGTCAGGCCTAAGGACATTATAGGGAGTATATGCCATCCATCTGCATAGAGAACTTGTGGCCACCAGCTTCCTCAATCCATTTGGGCTACACCCCATTGCATCATGTTAGCAGGAGAATAATGTAAAAATGTCACATCAAATTAACATGTGCTTAATGTGAGAAGAGAACTGTCAATTGAATATTCAAAATATAATCCACTAGTATTTCCCATCAACTTTTTAAGAAACCTGCTTAAATAAATAAATAAAGGGAAAAGGGGTAATGGTTTGCCATTAAGTGACATTTTAATGGCTGGGATTTTAGAGTTAGATCCACCTTAGAAAATACCTGATCTATTTTTACATGACCTTTCACATGCCATTTGCTTTAATAATCGTCCGTAGTACTACATGTTTAGGGCTGATGTATTAAAATTTCCCTAGATGGCTTGTCAGTAATCTGTTTATTATAATTCTAAATTTATGTTTCAATCAGGGCATAATGCCATGGCTGTTGCAAGAGCTTATGCTGATTACAGAATAATTGATCTGATTAAAGAAAAGATAGATAACATGCCAAAACCAGCAGAAAATCAAAAAGTAAAAGGCAAGTCACCTGTTAAACCAAAGACTGAAGGCACTGAAATTAAGAAAGAGGAGGTAAGAAAAGAAATTGGCTAACCATGAGTAAACAGAATTCCTTAAAACATTGTTTTATCATTACACAGCATGGGCAAAACAAAAAAATAATTCATATTTCTAGCATCATTATGCAGTACTTTTAAATAAATATCTAGCAGGAAAATTTACAACTATCACTGAAAAGTCTAAAAAAGTAATCATTGAAAATAGAATCCACACGAAACCAAATTGGCTCAGCCAAATACAATTAGAATATTGAAACAGGACTGGTATTGAATATGTATACATTTGGATCAAAATTATGCAGATAACGATGAGATGACCAAACAAGAAAGAAGGGCACGATTTTCCTCCATTTCGATCCCAAAATCTTAAATTGTCTACACCCTCCAGCAAGGAACTTGAATGGGTACCACTGACTCCTGTGATATGGAGCCATTTGTAACTTGGATATATCCTGAAAAGTAACTCTAAATAGTTAGGTGTTAAGGTGCCAAACTGACTTTTCCTGCTAATGCTTAGTGGTTCTGGTGTCTCTAAACTATGAGGGAAAGGTTGAGGCTGTTGTAATTGTTGTGAGTTACTAAGATGTCAGATGTTGCCATTGGCAGGAAAACCTTAAGTATATTCCCAGGCAGGAAGCATCTTGTAAGGAAGCAGAAGTTTCCCTGGAGATTCTTGGCAGCCACAGGACCGGGGATAAAGGTCATCAAATTGCAAAGCATTCAACGTATTTGGGAAATAAAGGTAATAGGAAGTGGATAGGCTGGAAGGATGGTAAGCAGAGAATAGAGAGTAATAAACATAAAAGACTTGAGTAAAGTAGGCAAGAGATAAAGAGGATCAATGAGATTAAGCTTCTGCTATATGCACCATTATTTTAATAGAAATCCATCCTTCTGATAAATGGGATGGCCACAGGTCAAGGATGGTTATCTGGAAGATTTATGTGATCTGTCACTGATGTTACTAGTTATATATGGTTAAACAAGGCAAACTAATCATCTCCCACTACCCAAAGTTATGCTAATATCCTGTATTTCATCTCAAATTATATTTTGTATAGTAGAATTTTCAGTTCATTTTTTAAAATCTGGCTTCAGAGGAACATGTCCAAAAACAAATATTTGAAAGTGTAAATGGTTTTCTTGCAATTGATAGATTTTCTTTTGGCTTGTCTCCAGGAACCACTTTATTCAATTTACACTGTACCGACAATATCAGAGGACAAGAAAGTATGTAAGGATAACGTGGTTTATCTCAATTCTTTGATTACTAGTGGTTATACCAAGAAAGTGGATATCATGTTTGTTCCACGGAGGGTAAGTACTCCAGACCATGGTACAAGCTCATAGTGTCATTTTATAAATGTTTTTTTTGATGCAGAGCACCCAGACAAATGCCCAAAGGTTATCTTTCATAGTTATTATTTGTAGTTGTCCTTGTGTCAGATTCTGTGATTATTTCCAACTCAATATGTCCAACTTTCTTTGTCCCCAAAGCCTGGCTCCCCCCCTTTTTTTTTTCTTTATCTATATTGATATTTAATTCTTGAAAATTGAAATCATCTTTATTCAGTTACATTCCCTTCAGACATTTAGTGATCAGATTCTATAGATACCTTTTCTTGGTACTTGTCAGACTCTACTCTTCTTTGTACTCGCTACTACCATCTCAGTTGGATGTTTCTTATCAAGCCTGGATTTATTCATTCAATAGACTCCTAAAATGTCTACAATTAAAGAGACGGAGGCATCTTTTGAGGATAAGGTTGTCTTGCCAGTACTCATCAAACCATGCTGAATAAGAAACTATCATCTTCCTCTGCTTTCCACTAGGAAGATAATTTTGACCTCCACATGAGACATAAAAGTACTAAACCTAGATGGTATTCTCATTCCTTTGCTTCACTGTCTTGACATCCCAAAAAGGAAGATCAGCTCACCCCAGGGTCATCAGAGAGCTAACTAGAGAGGCATTGCTCTATTCAGTTGTCCAAACATTTGCCATCAGAAATAGTGCTGTTTACATAACCATTTATACCCTGTAAGGGAAATAAAAGGGTTAAATTAGAATTGAGAGTGAATTTGATAGTTTTACGTTAGTGCTATTGAAAGTAGTCTCAAAATGAGAAAATATACTGCCTGTCATTACTGTCCCTGACTTGGGTGTGGCTGTTTATTTAAGATTTGGAGTCCTGAGGCCACTACAGCAGAGCTGATCAGGAAGAGAGAACTGCTGCGGGAACGGTTCACTTACGAGGTGGACTTTGAGGATTTCATGATGCCCTTTCAGAAGAACATCACAGAGAGAGCTCGGGCATTGGAAGCTTCCTTCAAGATGTAAATCGCAGCAGTTGCTCCTTTGGGTAAATGTTTCAAGGCCCAGAGACCAAACTATGGAGCAAATAGATAGTACAGTCAAAGCTAAAACAATTCCCAAATTAATAATTTGTAATCAAATATGTGTTTTTTTCTTTAACAGCTATAAATATTCCAAGCTATTCTGGAGATTATGTATTTTATTTTGCAATGAATTACATATCATTCTAGATAAATCCCCCAAACTACTTTAAGAGTATAGTGGAATAAATGCCATTTGGGTTATAAACGTAGTTATTATTGTCTAAAATTTACCAGATGTTTAGGCTGGGTTCTCTGGAGGAGCCAAACCAGTGAAGTATATATACAAATACACATAGAGAGATATTTACTTCAAGGAAATGGCTCACACAATTGTGGGGCCTAGCAAGTCCCAAATTCACCAGATTCATGGGTCATGTGGCAGAGGACTGACTCATGGGGTTGCAGGAGCTGAAAAAACCCAAACCAAACTCACTGCCATTGAGTCAATTCCGACTCACAGTGACCCCCTTTGAGTTTCTGAGGCAGTAAATTTTAGAGAAGTAGATTGCCCAGTCTAGTGAATCCAAATCTACAGGTCATACAGCAGGCTTCAGGTTTCTCATTGCCCAAGAACTGGAGGTCAGACAGGATGATTGCAGGATCGAGAGAGAATGAGAAGTTTGTCAGAACATCCATTTACCTATTGGATGCAGGCCACACTTCCAAGGAAACTCTCCTTCCAACTGATTCCTCCTATTATGCCATAAAATGGAGAATGTCTGCTAAACCACTGAGGATCATGGTCTAGCCAAGTTGATACATAACATTAATCACCACAGTCCACCCGTTGTCAGCCTGGCACCTATACATAACTTCTTAAACCATACATCATCTCAAAATAAAGACAATTATAAACTCATACTTTTGCTAAAAATGGTACACTAACATGCATACAACTGAAAATGTACTAGGTCCATTTATGTCCTGTATATTATAATAAGTATGGGATAAAGAAGGAAAGAAAACAAAAACACACATACAAACACATACATGTTTAACAAAACAAGGATTTAGGCTTCTCGATTCAGTTAGGGCAGTTTACTCTGTCAAATCTGACCTGAAAAAAACAAAAAACAACCACAGCAGTCTTCAAGGATGTTGGGGCTCCCTTCACAAATTTGTTCCTCGCAGTTGTGGTAAAAGGTATATCCTCTGGACACTCCTTGGGTGGACCTGTCAGTCCAACCTCATAAATCCACTCTAAGATGTCAATTTCCCTAAGCCTTTGGACCTTCTTCTACTGTATACCAAGGCAGTTCTGGTATTTCTGAATTAATGTAGGCCACCTCTTAGTCCACACTTCTGTCAACCAACCAAATAAACTATTAGATCCTTTTCTAACCTCTTTAGTTGAAACTTTGAATGAAGAACCTATGCTTAGTGAGCCCATGTCAATAAACTCTGATCTAACTTTATGTCCTTTGCTCCATTATCCCACACCCTTAATAGCTTTCAAACATATTCCCCAGTTTTCTGCTTGTATATATTAAAAACATCAAGCAATCCTTTTGGAGTATAGCATACCTCTTCATGAGTCACATTTTATACTTCACATCTTGGGGCTCACTGGAACTTAAGTCTAGTTGTAGGTGTAGAAGCAAAAATGAGTGTTGGGGGTAGGTCCTGGGGGAATATTCAGCAATGTCTCTGCAAGGCATTTACCTCAGGTGATACCCCAGGCAATGTCTCAGGTATGGCTCCAAGCAATGTCTCAGACAAAGACTCTTCAGCTAGATTAATCTTATCAGATGGAGTTGGGATGGATGGTTTTACTGGGGAGGATAATTTAGCAGACAAAGCTGGAGTGATCTCTTCACATGGGAGTGAGAGAGTTGGTTCTGTTGGGAAAAGCAATTCAACAGAATTTAGGGGCTCAGTGTTCCTAGCTTCTAGATTATCTACCAATATGTCCCCATACCAAGTTTCAGGATCTCATTTCTTCCCAATCAATGTCCTTTAACTTCAGTCAGCATTTGAGGTTGGGAATTTAATTGATGCTGTAACAGCCACTCTTTCAATAAGGCTTTGGGTTTGGTGTTTGGCAATATCTGCTCTGTTACTACAAGGATTGAAGCTTTTGTTCAGGGTACAAATAGCAACTTTAAAGTCTCATATGCAGCACTTGATCTGTGACTCTATGCCATGTGCTCACCCTTTTCTTTCACCACTTTGTCTAGGGAAGGTAGGACCAACCAACCAGCTTCCTTATACTTATCATCATCTTAGCAGATGAACATCGTTATGTTTTAAAAGATATAATTCTACTGCAAATTGGTGAAAACAATTTATTATTGTGAAGATTCAAAGGAAAAATAATTTGACATGTACATCATAAGTAATGTTTCTTGATGTGTGTGAGCAAAATATAATGGTGTTATGAATGAGATAACACAAAGATTATCCATTTTGCTAAAGACTAAAGTAATGTGAAATTTTTGTACTGAAAAATAATAATAGATATTAATTATATAATTTCTTAGTATTGTAGTAATGAAAGGCATTTAGACATTATCTAATCCCATTCAATCATATTATTAATGAAGAAACTGAGCACAAA